CCCCCCCCCCCCCCACACACACACCCCAATAGACACAAAAAAATGGAAGTTGTTAGCAAGAGAAGGGGAAAAAATACAAGAAATGGTGTTGTTGTGGCAGGTTGTGTATGGGAAAATAGAATGAGATTTGATGAATTCAAAGGTGGAATCAATGTATATAGTGAAAAAGAAGAAACCCCACAAGTTGAAAATGATGAGATGAAAACAAATGAAGTTGAAGAACACAAAAAGTTGGAAATGGGGTCAAAAACTAATCTTGGTGTTGGTTGTTTTGTTATGAGTGGAAAGAGAAAAACTTGGAAATCTGAGAGTAATTTTGAAGGGAACCCAATTGAGATATCAACAAAAAGATCTCAACTTTGTAAAGAATTGAGTGTTAGTGCAATGAAGAAAAGTCCAATTCAGAGCAAGAAAAGGGAAGGAAATGAGAAAATGTGTGAGTTAAAGAAGGTGAAAAATGTGTCTCCTAATGGGAATTTGAGGAATTCACTTCAACTAATGAAAGCAAAATCAGAGAAATGTAAAGAGATTGATGTAATTGAGGAAAATAAGGTTGTTGGTGTTCTTGATGAGTCAAAGAAGAATCTTGAAAGGGTATTTAGTGAATCAAGTGATGAAAATAAGGTTGTTGATGTTCTTGATGAATCAAAGAAGAATCTTGAAAGGGTATTTGGTGAATCAAGTGATGGAAATGAAGAAAATAAGGTTGTTGATGTTTGTGATGAGTCAAAAAGGAATTTTGAAAGGGTATTTAGTGAATCAAGTGATGGAAATGAAGAAAATAAGGTTGTTGATGTTTGTGATGAGTCAAAAAGGAATTTTGAAAGGGTATTTAGTGAATCAAGTGATGGAAATGAAGAAAATAAGGTTGTTGTTGATGAATCAAAGAAGAATCTTGAAAGGGTATTTGTTGAATCAAGTGATAAAAATGAAGAAAATAAGGTTGTTGATGTTCTTGATGAGTCAAAAAGGAATCTTGAAATGGTATTTGTTGAATCAAGTGATGGAAATGAGGAAAATAAGGTTGTTGATAATGTTGATGGAAATGAGGGGAATCAAATTCAGCTGAGGAAAGTGAAATCAGAGGCAAATAAGGCACAAAATGTGGATGGAAAGAATTGTGATTTAAGGAAAGTGAAATCTATGTGTCTTAATGGGAATTTGAAGAATTCACTTCAAATGGTGAAAACAAAAACAGAGAAATGTAATAAGAGTTTTGAGAAAAATAAGGTTCTTGAGGAAAATTGTGAAGAGAAAGTGATAAGAAGCAATGTGGAACCTCAAGAAAAATTGAATCTTGAAAATGAAGATTTCAAGATTTTGGAAGAAGAAATTGAGAAGGAAAACAGTTTAGCAAAAGTGATTAAGACTAAAAAGATTGTAATTGTTGAAGAGAAAAAAGTTCATATTAGTAACAATGAGAAAAAACAAGTGTCCATTTCTCCAATTATCAAGAAACAGTCTAATCTTTCATTTTCAGGCCAATCAAGAATTCTTCATCATCATCCAAGTCCAACAAGAACTAAACCAGGCAAATCCATTTTCTTGAATGCTTCTTTTTTGTGTTTTGTTTTCCCGTTCGATGTTTGGTATTCATATGTTGCTCGGATTCTTTGAAAATGACGATGGAGATGTTGGAGAGTCTGAGTAACATAACGAGTAGCTTGACTAGATTTGAATAACAAAGGCAACTTTATATCCAGAGCTCGAAACTGACCTTTTTTCTAATATGATTCTGTTTTTTAAGGTTGCATTTTGTTTTCTCTAACAATTTTATGCTGCATTTTCAGTTCCAGCATCAGATGAATTTCAGAGAAATATTCCAAGACAACATAGCAACCTAGAAAGTTTGGGTAATTTTCTTGTCCTTTAGAATTCAATGTCGAAAAACGTAACTGGTAAAATTATTGTCATGTAACCAAGAGATCACAGATTCAAGATGTGAAAATAGCCTCTTGTAGAAATGCATGATAAAATGCATATAATACAATGTTGTGGTTTGTACGATATAGCAAGAGCTTTAGTGCACCAGGCTGTCTTTAGAATTCAATGTCATTCTACAAATGTTGATTCTAATTTTCTCTTTTTTGGTTTGTAACTTTTTTTATTTTTCAGTTGATTTGGTCATGTGGACAGATGCATCAAAATCAGCATTAATCTTTGGAATTGGAACATTTTTCATTATTTCCTCTTCATATACTAAAGATCTCAATATCAGGTAATATGACAATTACACTTGGTAAAAAAAAAATCAGATATTTCTTTATTGATTCTTGAAATAACCAATAATAATAATAATGTCAAGTAAAATTAATGATTTTTTTTCTTTTTTACAGCTTCATTTCTGTGATTTCCTATTTGGGTCTGGTCTACCTTGCTACAATCTTTCTATTTAGATCTCTCAGGTAAAAAATTCAGTCTCAATTTACGTGACACATTCTTCGTTACCCAATTTTTCACACAAATATATGGTTTATTACATATCACAAATTTCTAAAATTTCTAAAATTTGTGTTCAGTCAAATATTGGAACGAAAGAAATATTAACTTTACTGTTATAGTAGATAACAATTATTTTTTTGATCTAATTTTTTGTTTTTTTGGTAAAAAGGGGTGCAAATGATATAGGTGAATCAAGTGAATATGTATTAGGGGAAGAAGAAGCAATGTGGATTTTGAAATTAATATTGCCTTACATAAATGAATGTCTCATGAAAATTAGAGCTCTTTTTTCTGGGGATCCTGCTACTACAATGAAGGTAAAAAAAAAAATATTTTTGTTTTATTTTTTTAAAAAATAATTGACATTTAATATTTTTGAATATTTTGAAACTCACTAGAAAGTTGACAAAATTTTGCCTCTACAGATGGCAGTTCTACTGTTTATTTTTGCAAGATGTGGCAGTTCCATAACTATTTGGAAGATGTCAAAATTGGGTGAGTTTTTTTTATATTTTATTTTTGGGTGGAATTAAAAAAAAAAAAGAGAAGGAGCTTTTTGACAATTGTTGGGTATTAGCAAAAAGAATTTTAAGTGAGTAATATTATATATGACTTTTACCATCAATAACATGAGTCATGATCAGTTGAACATTCTTTATTCGTAAAATTCATAATATTATATATATAAGCCAATATTTTTATTTTATACAAATACATTAGAGTACATTTCAAAAATTCTTAAATTATTTAACGAAATTTTTTATTTCGCCATTACTTATATACATCCATTTTTATTTTGTAATTCTTCTTACTAATGTTCTTGATTTTTTTCCTACTTTGATATCTTTGTTAATAAGCTTAGAGATACAAAAAAAAAAAAAGAAAAAAAAAAGAAGAGAAAATATAACATATTTCATGAAGTGAATTTTTTTAAAGGGGTGATTTTATTTAATTAGAGTAGTTGATACATATTTTGAGCTGAGTGTCTATCGGAAACAGACTATCTTCCGCACTAAAATAAGAGTAACGTCTACTTATATTTTACCCTTTTCATATCTTATTTGTGAAATTACACTGAATATCTTTAATTTGTGTTTTTTTTTCTTGGTACATATTTTTAAGGAAAAGAAAGTACATATTTTTCAGTAGATCAAGCAGAAATAAATAACTGAAACATTCTATTTTCACCTTTTTTCACTTAACATATTTGTTGCTGACACTTTGTTTTTTTGTCTGTTTGTAGGGTTTTTTGGAGTTTTCATAGTACCAAAAGTCTGTTCTTCTTATTCCACACAGTTAACTGCCTATGGTAAAATTTATATTCACCATGCTCTTTTTATTTTATTTCTTTCTTAACATATTTTTTATCGATACCTATCTTAAAATTCGATTAAATTTGAATATACGTTGAAAAATTCTATATTAAATGGTAAAGTGGTTTCCAACAAAAGTTACTTGTTATAACGAGTTAAAATACATTATGAGATAATATTTTACGCTATTTGTGTGTATAATATATATTGATCTTTTACATTCTTTCTTTGTACTGTACTTTGCATGTATTTTATTTTTTTGGTTCCCCCTTTAGTGATTGACATTTGTTTTAGGGTCTGACTAGATTGAAAATAGTGCTCTAAAGTTTTACTTTAGGAGATGAAGCACTCCTTATAAAATATCATGGCTTTGAATCTGAAATTTTTGATTTAGGATTGAGGATACTTAACTAGTACTTCACTGCAACCTTTTTTTTAGTATATATCTCTAAGACAGTTATCAAAATGTAGATATAATTACTAGAAATTAAGATCTAACAAGCACTTATAATAATATATAATTTTACTAACTCCTTTTCTTTCTTTTTTTTTCCTTTTTTTTTCTTCTTCTATTTTTTGAATTTCTAGTTGGTGAAGTTTGGAATATTTAATAATTTGTAGTACACATAGTTGGATGAACTACATAACGTCTATTTTTATGAATTTGTCAACTAGTTGGTTGTAATAAATGGGGTCACAATAATATTATTTTTGTTGCATTAATGAATGCAAATAAATAAATATATTTTATTTTCATACACAAAAGTGGTCCATTTCAATCTTTATATACCTTTATCCTCTTCATTATAGGATTTTCAGTACATATATATGTCTGCTTGATTGAAAATAATTACAATTTTTATAATTTAATTTCATGAGTTTAAACTCAAAAATTCTGATTAATGATGTTGAAACATTTATCACCTTATCACAATAATTTTCGATGATTTTAATATGAAGGTACATTTTGGATTAGACGTTTTCGAGATGCTTGGGAAAGTTGTACTCACAAGAAAGCAGTTGCATTTGCAATATTCACACTTATATGGAATTTATCTTCAATTTCTGCTAGAATTTGGGCAGGTAAATTTACTCATTTTTATTTATGGAGCTGCAATTTTAGGGTACTCTTGGCATCGAGGAAAATATTTTCTGAAATAATTTTCACATGAAAATAAGTTTCTTGAAAATTAGGAAAAATAACCTCTATGAGTGCATTTCAAGTTTATTTCAGCTCCTACATATATACCTGTCATCGTATTTTTCTATATTACATATTTTTATATAAATACATTTGAGGCAATATTTTTTCTTATTTACTTATCAAACAACAAAAAATAAGAAAAATATTATTTATTTTGTTAGAAATTATTTTCCTTCCTACCGAACAATTTAGTGTTTTCTCCAATATGAATTCATACATTTTACTAAACGGAATCGGATTATAGTCAACACAAATTACTTGTTCTTCAAAGACAATTGTCCTTATATATTACATATAAATGATTTTGAGACAAAAACTTTTATTTATTTATAAAAATATCAGAAAATGAATAAAAAGTTACTTTTTTTAAAAAAAATAATATTTTTCTTGATATAAAAAAATCGGATTATAATCTCCTCTCTCTTTTTTTTTTTTTTTTTTTTTGCAGTTTTTATGTTGTATGTGGGATTTAGGTACTACCAACAAAAAATGATGAAAGAAGGATGGATAGGTGAAGAAGAGATTACAATATCAGAGGATTATTGGCAAGAAAGACAAAGGAGAATTGGGAGAAAATCCACTTCAATGGAATCCAAAAAGCAAAAGAAAACAATTTAAAAAGGAAAAAAAAGCGTTAATTAATATTTTAAAGATATAATTACAATCTTATTACTGTATATAGTTGTTTGTGTTAGTAAATAAAAAAATTGTTGGAGTTTTGTAGCTTGTATTGCTTAATAGAATCTTTATTAATTCATTTTCAAGTGGTGTGTTATTATATTGATTATTTTTAGGTTTTGAGTACTCCATTGGGTAGAAATTTGTTAAAATATGGTTAAGAAATTAAAGTCATACTATATTTTTTGGAATTTAATCGGGACTCAAACGAAAAGATTAATAAGTTAAATTAAGTACCTTTTGAATTTTGTCGAAACAAAAGATTTACCTTTTTTGAAATAAACAAGGATTGAGTAGAGCTAGGCTGGTATTATCAACATGCCTGCTTGTTGTTGTCATTACAATTTAAGTCAAGGACAATTATGACTTTTCACTACATATAGCAACATATAATACTCTCATCTATTGAAGAGGGGGTTTTGTCCTCCAAATTGCAATTTGAAGGTAAAGCTTTCTCATTCTTCGTCTCCCTCTTCAATTCAATAGATTCGAATTGTTAATTTTTTTATCTTCATCTATTTTCTCCTCAATTACGTTTTGATTTTGAATTTTTCTTCATCCGATTTACAAAGATTTAGTTTGAAATTTAAAAGAACCAAAATTAGAGCCAATAAAGAACCCTACATTTGTCTGAATAGATTTATAAAGTTTGAATAGGAGAAGAATTAAAATTAGGGTCAAAATAGTATGTGTTAGATCAGATCAGTTACAATACGGTGTTTAAAATAATTGTGAAATTGACCACGGTTGAATCTTCATCTTTGTTTTTCCATTTTTAAATTGAAATTTTAGGTTGTGAGTCTTTAACTGTAGATGTGTATTGTCTTTATGTTTGTGCATTTTAATGGACATGATTTTGCTAACTGTTTCACAGAATGCTTTAGAGGACTAACTAGCAATTTACTGCTTGTTTTAGAGTATGTTTCATAGAGTGAGTGCACTTGAAGTTTGTCTGATAAACATAAAATAGGTTCACTGCAAAGGCTCCCAAAAGTACAACTAAAATATCCGTGAGTCTCTTTAATCACAGATTGTGATTTTTATATCAGTACAGACCACAAGTAAATAGTTGCAATTGAAGAGTAAGAGTAAATAAGCCCAACAACTAAGAATTTAACTCTTGTGTGGATTTTTTGAAGTAAAACTTGGATTGCAGTAACTCTGCCATTTTTTCTTTTGTATTGTATGATTATTCCTCTAATTAGGATACCTTATAATTTTGAAGAATTCTAATCTGTAAGCTTACTTTTCTCTGATATGATCTTCATCAAGTTTTAGTGAACTTACTAGCATCCATGTTTTAGAGACTTTTGAGAGCAACATCACACTTAACTTATTCATACTTCCATAGTAGCTTTTCCGGCTGTGGTCTCCATCCAGTAAAACTTACTCACCATCAAACGAAATATAACTGTGCCCACCCACACCCATATCGTGCCCACACGGGTGCGGAACAAAAATTGAAGAGTTTTAGCAACTTAGAATTTGTGTCTGCACCAAGTCTTTCAATTTCAAATGATTTCCTAATTCCTCGCCCTCACTTGCTAACATAGAAAGAGATTCTAGGCATTGTTTAATAGAAAATCATTTTTAATTTGTTGTGAGCGTAGCTCATAGAAAGGTTTTAGTTACTTATTATTTAGCTTTGTTGGAAAAATGGTGAATTTCTTGCTATAAGAAATTTACAGCAGGCTTCCTTAACTGTATATTAACTTAACGATATAAATAATTATCTCAAATCTGGATTATTGTCATATGTTTATGTTAATTACTTCATACGCCATATTTGCACGCCATCTTCTCTTAATTATTAAATGATAGGTAATTTGTCTGTTTCTATTCTATTGTTTGAGTTGCTTACTGCCACATTAGTAAAATAATATGTTGAACAAAAAGATCTGTGACGCCCAATGCTTTAACAAGGTATGTCCCAACCAACCATATGCACATCCACGACATTACTATTCGTGGCTTTAATCTCCAGTGATATCAATGAGAGTAAATATTTTTGTCGTCAAATTCCTCTGTGATCATCAACTCTCTTAGTCGGTATTTGTGTTCATCAATTGCAGTGAGAAAAGGATAAAAAGAAGATGAGTGTGGCTTTTTTGTCCATCTTTGTGTAATTGCTAATTGTGATATGCATATAATGAAATAACCAGAAGTATTAAAATATATAACATTCTGGATCCTTCCTTAATCCATGATTTTCATGTCCATTTGCGACTCTTACTACATTTTTATCCAAGTTCATTTCCAAAAAGGACTGATTCAACAGTTAAGAGCACAAAAATTATAACCCACAAAATAAAAAACACAAACCAAATCAAATTGATGGGTAACATTCCCAGAATAATGTGTCCTCCAACTTCTCTATAGCTTCTCTAATCTTACTTTTTGTTCTCAAACTTGACTTTGAACAACTCCACACAAGAGACGTTGGTTCAATAATATAACAATTGTGCTTGATCAAATATTTCTTTGAAATGCTCTCTTTCAGGTTCATTCTGTGTTATTGTGATTATTATTCTTCAGTGTGTTCAACCTCCTTGACTTTGGTAAGTGTTTCTCTTCTGCTTGCTTTGATTATTATCGCTTAGCTTCTTGAATTTGCATGTCTCTTAATTGTTTTTTTTTTGTGTAAAAATAATTCACAGCTCTTCAGCTTGCTTTGGTTGTGTTGCTTAGCTTCTTGTGTTTGTTCAGGTGTATCATTTGGGTAGAGTTTTGTAGCCTTTAGTGTGGTGCCCTATAATTCAATTAGTCATGGAACTAGGTTCTCCTTTGAAACAAAACTCACCTCCCATGTACTAAATATGCAAGAAAAGTATGAGTAAAAAGAAAAATATACCCCATAAAATTTGATCATAATTTGTTCACTAGCAGCACATTTTCCTAAAACACAAAAATCAAAAATCATTTAGCGGCATATGCAGCTATTAGCATGAACATATACAAAAGTTGAGTTATACTTGATAGCATAGACTATAACTATACTGCCTATGAACATCTAAAGATGCTCATTCAAGAATATAAGAAAGAAAATCATGACATTAAAGTTTCTAGAACCCATCATACTGGTTGTTTGAATTTGATGAACTATAATAAGCATTTTTCATCAATTTATATGTATATGTTATGTTTATCATCTTTATAACCTCTTCATGTGTTTTGTCAATCAGAACTGCCAATGGCATAGCAGTTGCGTTACTATTTTACCTTTCTCATTTTGATACTAACTTCATTGCGAATGTATATTTACATACCAACAATTCAAACAATATGCTTACCTAGGCAATTTTTTTTTTTGAGGCAATATTTATGTAAATAATGTGTAAACTGCTCAAAGAGATGTCATCCTATCTATTAAATAAGTCTCCATCACTTCTAAATTTGCATTCCACTAAAATTGCACGCATGAAAATATTGGGCCCGTGCGCGCACGGGCAAACACCATCTAGTCTATTAAAATTGACTTTAAATCTAAATTTAAGTCCAAAAGAAAAAAAAAATTGGGCCACATAGAGCCCAAAAGGTTGCCAAGAATTGAAAATTCAAGTCCAAAAGAAAAAAGTTAAATGTTATGCGGGGCGGATTAAAATTTTTTGGGTTATCAACCATCCAAACAAGGCGTTAGGTTTCTAAAATTGTGCTATTTCCCTTCAAATCCAGGAAACTTGCCAAGGTTTTCATGGCTGTCTAAGAGCTCTTCGCCATGGTTGTCTAAGGTTTTCCATTCCTCTCTAAAAGTTCTATTTCGATACCAAATTTAGGGTTTACAACATTCTGCACACCAAGATTTGGAAGCTTCTTCAACTGATTAGCTTTGACTTTGCCTCAGGTTAATGCGTTTTCTTTCTTTCTTTTTCCAAATGGATTTTGCGGAAATTTGATCGATTCTTCGAATAGGATGTTTCTAATAGCCTTACTGCATCAATAATACGAAGCCAATTTGTTGATTTGAGTTGTTTTGTGTATAGTTTTTGTTCTTATGTTCCTTCCGATCTGTTTTCCTTAGCTTCTCAATGTTTGCGGATATTACACATAATTGCAAATTTCTCCCAGTAGAGACTCTGTGTATCTTCTAATAATAAGGGGGCTATTAGGTTTACTGCATCAATAAGACGAAGCCAATTTGTTGATTTATTAGGAACACAGACATATGTCACGTCCCGCCACATCACAGTGAAATTTTGCGTCCGGATAGGGGCGGAATGGTCTAGAGTTGTGGAGAGGTTTCCGGAAGACTCTAGAACCCTTTAGATTATTCAAGAAGGCTAGAGAATTCCCTAGAATTCTCTAGAATAATTTAGATAGTTTCCAAAGAAAGCCTTAGAATTCTCTAGAGTGCGTAGAGAATTCTAGAGAGGGGCTTTTGTGTAAATATTAGAGGGACTTGTAAGTAATTTTTATTTACACTTTAGTCCTTAGGATTTAGTATAAATAGAGGGTGCCATTCATTTGCAAGGCACCCAACAATCCAAGCTTGAAGCAAGCAAGCAAACTTGTAAAGCATTCTCCAAAGCTTAATACAAAAAGCCTTCTTCCAAAATTCTCTAAGTCTTCCTTTTCATTCTCTTAGCGATCTTAGTTGTAAAGGCTTACTTGAGCTTACAAGATCGTGAAAGATTCGTGAGTAAGTTGTCAAGTGCCGCACGGAGCTTTAGT